TTTATCTTTCCGAGGGCTACGTCCGAGACTAGCAAAAGTCTGCTCCCTTTCACTTTACTGGCCTTTGAATACTTGATGCTCGTTCGAATATTATCTCCAAAGTAGATTCCCGAACCGAGAAGGCCATCCTTTTCGGTAAGATCCACTCCGTAATCTTCCACAACTGTCTTGGGAGGTAAGAGTCCTCTGCAAGAATATTAAACACAAACAAAATCAATACTATTATTATCGGTGGTTGTGATGTTTGTTTTTTTTTTGTTTGTAGCGAATTGTTTGTAATATGCTGTACCTCGACATTATTCCTAGAAAATTGTAAACAGACGACGAATGAAAAAGGCGTCGAACGTTGCCTATTTCGTGCTGGAATTGTCCTTCGTCCTGTCCCCGATAGAACGAATAGACATTATGCACAGTCAACTCAGGTACGCTGGCGGGAAAAAGTGATAATAATTTAATAAGAATATCCATTCAATTTGAATAATCGAGCAATTAGCCCATTAATTAGATTGTAGGCTAAAGCTTAGCCTCTTTCTAGCTTATTTACTTTTCGTAAAACTGCTTAATCTCCGATTGATGGGTGGGAATGTGTTGCAGATGGCAATTTAACGCCTTATACATGGCTAGAGACGAATTTCTCCTACTCCAGTTAGTAGCTTCGTTTACATTCAGCATATCCTTAATAAGCTGCAACAGAAGAATGATTGTCTAATATTAGCAAACGTTCCTTTGCCTTATTAGTCCTATTGTCTTACCTGACACAAATCAAAACATTTTGCCAGCTTTCTCTTGTTGGTCGCTAGATCTTGATATTCTCTATCGGCTAATGGTAGTGTATTGGAAAATTCATTAACGAGTTCTGCGACCAAGGATGACTTTGCAGAATCGGCCAAACTCTCTTTAATCTTGAGTAGAATGGCTTCGGCGGCTATAACCTTTTATTCGTTGGAAAACAATTGAATAGGATTTTCAAATAAAGAGAAAAGAGTGAAGAATTCGATATGAAAGACAAAATACCTTTTCTAGCTTAATTGATTCGATGGGTTGAGAGAGGATTGTTTCGGCTCTTCCAGAAACTTCTTGCCATATATGCCGAACCAATTGGCTCACCTGCTCGTCAATCTCTTCTCCCTTACCCAACCATTCGATTTGTTGTTGGCGAAAGCGTTTACTGCCAATGTCAGGATGAACGAGCGTCTGTGTGGGCAGACACGAGTGCGGAGGATGCGAGAATTTGTCATACTCAATAGAGTAGACGAAAAGAGTTTCACCGCTGGTTCGACACTTGAAAAATCTCTTAGTGGAACTTGCAAGATTCTGCGTCAAGTAAAGAAAGTATCGATGAATGAAAAGAGATTATCGTCATGATATATTCGTAAATTCTCTGTTTCGTACGTACATTTAAATTTCCATGGTGTTCCGCCACTCCATATTTTCCACAGTCAACCTGAATTTCCAACACGCAAAACGACTTGGTCTGTTCGTTCTGGTAGAAGAGGGAGAGAGAGAGAGAGATGAGATAAGGGAATTGAAAAAGAGACTATTAGTCTAGTATTTAATATTTAAAAATGTAACATCGTGGAAAAATTGTAACTGAAACGAGGGATAGTAGAAGAGGGAAGAAGAGAAAGAAAAAGAGCAAAAGAGAGAAAGAAAACCTCTACTTACATAGAGTAGACAACCCTTGGCAATTTGAAAATTTTGACTAAATTCATTCAAACTGTCGCAATTTTCGTAGACTGGAATTTTACTCAAATCGTAAATCGGTGTCTTTTTATCCGACTTTTGAGCATTTTCCAATTCTTTGGTTGATACTCGTCCATTTGCCAATTTCTTTGATTTATTCTCGCCAATAAGTAAATAGTTTTCGACGCTTAGTAGACGCTCCTCTTCTATACAATTGTCGATAAAGTTCCTTCCAATAACTGGTATATCACACTTTTGTGCAGTTTTAGACTTGAACGATTGAACAGCTTGCTGTTGAGTTTGCGTTGATAGCAGATAGTGGCACTGTGTCAGCGTTGCAGGTGGAAGAAAAAAACGCAATAGTCAGTATAGATAAGTAAAAATATTTAGCAGACGACAATTATATTGTTCAATTTCGGTGTTCGAACGTTTTTATTATCATTATCATTATAACGTAATGCGAAAAAGAAATGCAGATATACTAATCTAATACTAGTTGCTCTTATCTCTAACCTGTTTATTGATTACGTGCGAAACAATGCCGCCTTCTCCTATTATTAATCCCTTTAATTCTCTCTTTTCCTTAAAACTTGTGGCTGTTGAAAAGTCAACGGCAAACTTTAACCCCTCAAAAATCGATCTTTTTCCGTTATCCCCCTGATTCTTAGGGGTAATTTGCATCTCTTCATCGTCAGTCCGGCTTTTCGGCTTTTGTTTACGATTCTTTTCGAACGAGAATAGTTCTGCTCTGACTTTGTTGAGTTTAGAGGAAGGAGGAAGATGAAGAGTTTTTGGGTTGAGAATTTCTAGATTGGACATGATACAATGAATTCAATAGTGTGTAGCTTCCGAGAAACAATTTGCTCAGTTTAAATCGACTATCGTCGATCGAATACTTTTGCCAACTAAAAAATAGATGATACAACAACTATTTGTAAGAATTACACAACATTCTGGGATTTCCCAATGAATAATCGTTGGCGAAAACAGGAGACTGGCTACGAGCTGTATTCTCTGTAGAATTCGCTTTAGCAGTGGTAGTAGGTGACCAGTCTAGAGGATTTCCACAGATGGCGCGTTCCAAGTAACACAAGCGAAAAAGAGATAGATAGAGCGAGAGGGAGAGCGAGCGAGCGAGAGAGAGAGAGCGAGCCAGCGAGAGCGAGAGAGGAGAGATCCGCGTCGGTATAGCCGCAAATAAGACGTTGTCATCCGCCTAAAGTCGGTTAGTATCGTTGAATACTGACTGATGAATAGTTTATTGAAATTTTTCCCTTGATGTTAAATTATTTAATTAAAGAAGAAATAAAAATAGTAATCCCTTTCAACCGACTGAGAGAGTAGACTAATTATAAATGTTAATTTTTACAGAAATGGCGTTTTGCGGTCGTTTAACTAACTCCGACGGTGATTTATCGGATTTTTGTCGATTTAAACGCGTAAGAGAGTTTTTTCACGAGCAACTACCGAAAAAATCGAGAAGAGTCAAGACTCCGCCAGGCGTTTCCAAATTAACAAGAAATAGCGCTCACAAAATATTTCACCTCCTCGAACACGAAACTTTAGATAAAAGACAACAGCACGAAATCAGAGCATTACTAGGACGATGCCCAAAATCCGAAAACGTTCTAACACCCCTAGACGATCAGGTCAGTACTAGTTCTAATCATAGTAGCCTACCTAAATGCATATATACATACATTTACAATGTTTATATAAAATTTATACTAATGTATACTGTATATAGGAGGCTGTATAGAAGCTGAACGCAGTCTAAACACTATCTACAGTATATATACTGCATAACTGTATACACAATACTCTTATATTTTTATTATCCTGTTTACCTGTCTTATCCTTCGCTCTCTCTCTCTCTCTCTCTCTCTCTTTTTCTCTTTATCTCTCTCTTTCCATACATACCAATCTAGCTACGTATACGTCATATAAACGCGTACTTTTCTCCCTTCCTTACCTCCCTCTCCTCTCTATTCCGCCTTCTTATCCAAGAAATCTCAACAATAGTAACCAAAGAAAACTAATTCGTTTATTCAACAGTCGCAAATAATTTATTTAAATAAGTCTATTTGTATACGCAAATAGGAGGGAAGGAGAGCTGGATAGCAGTGAGTGGGGTGGAGGGGGCAGGATAAAGAAAAGAGGAACCTATTCGAATAACCTAACTAGATTCGATAGACTAGATTTTTTAGCCAACTGCAAATCCAATTTATAAATTTATACATCAATATACTGTACACAGTATATAATCCTGTGTATAAACTTTTATGTCCGTCTATATATATGCAATAGCGTATCGTCTTTATGTTTCACACTCTCTTTAGGTTCTTATTGTTTGATTCTAATTGATTAACTTTCTCTTCTCTTCTTCTTTACCTACCAAAAGGGCTGGAACTTGATGCAAAGGGCTGTATTGGGGCGTCATTCTGTCGTCGTAGAAATGCTACTGTCTCACGGATGCGATTTGAATAGCGGGGTCTGTAGTTTGCCATTACATTTAGCCTGCAAATTAGGATATTCGAATATCGTTCAATTGTTGTTGGACGCGGGGGCGAGACCCGATATTCCCAAGGGATTGTGCCACGGCGTTCCTCATTATATTAAAACATGCTCACCGGACAAACCGCCCAAATTTCTCTGTAATAGAATTAGAAATCCAGCAACGGCTCTTAGTTACGCCATTCTAAGCGATCAACCCGAAGTCGTTCAAGTTCTTTTGGATAATTCCGCCCACATGAACACCGAATTATTATTGCATGAAGCCTGCAGATTTCGAGCCAAGCCATGCGTGGAATTGCTCATTAGTATGTTTCCAGAACAAGTCAATAGACGGGACAAGAAAGGCTTCGCTCCTCTACACTATGCACTAAGAGGACCCAAGGGACGAGACTGCGCAATAACCTTATTGGAAACTGTTAAGAATATTTCTCCGGATTCCTTCCTATGCGAGCAGGGTACCTTATTACACGAGCTCTACGTATCCGAAGATTCGACCAGCTTTCTCCGCCTAACCCAATTAATGCTCGCCAAAGGTCCCAAAGATCTAGCGTATAGGCCAACGCCGGTGGACGGCGATACACCTTTGCACAAGCTGCTTAAGTACTTCGGAGGAAACCATCCACGTAACCGTCAGCAATACGTCGACGAAGTAATCGGCTGCGTGAGACTATTACTCAAGCATAATGCCAATCCGAACGCGCCCAACAATAGGGGAGAGAGCGCCCTACACGCTCTTTTAACTCACCATACGGGGAGACCTCTATTCCATTTGAGGGATAGATTCGGAGTTGGTCCAAAATACTTACGGACCGTTCTAGAGAACGTTGGCATTCTTATGCAAATTCTATTGGACGGAGGCGCATTGCCGAACCAAAAGCACGCACCGAATTTCGTTAGTCCCCTATACTATCTAACCAGAATAATATGTTCCATGTCGCCGAATCTGTTGAAGAATACTGCCGATCAGGTAAAGAATTGCCTCAAGATCATCTGCAAGAGGGGAGCGGATGTAAACGTCATAAATGCCAACGAGGACAACGTGGTAACTTTATTGATGTCGTCGCTGTCGAGGTGGCTGCATCAGACTGCGGACGACGAACATAAGATGCACTTTCTCCTATCGATAACGCACGATATTCTAGAACTCTTACTCGAGCACGGACTCGACCCCGAAGTTGTTCTTCGTAAGAATCTCAAGCAATTCATTATAATATTCAACGTTACAGCTCTACACGAACACTTTATCACCTATTTAAACCGCCTACTTCGTTGCATTATACGTCTCGGTGGCAATCCGAATTTAATCAAGTTCTGCGACAATTCCAGATCGTTGTCCTATTCGACCTCGTGTCTCCTCTACTATTTCGCCAGAGGTTTCTACATTCATTCCAGATACGACAATCGTTTCGCCTTTCACATTCTCGACGTCTTCGAGAATACTCTAACGCAACCTAATTTGTACGAATGCGTTAATGGGATTTGCGCCAATCTCGAACTCGAATTTACGTCGGCCTACGAAATTAAAAGAAAAATCATGGAAATTTGTTCCAGACCAAGAACACTGAAGCAGCTCGTCAGAATTTGTATTTATCAATCTCTCGGATGGCAATTACAAAGAAAATGTCCTCAATTAAATTTGCCGCCTTATTTAACAGAATATTTGACATATGTACAATGCTGACAAACTCGACAAGAATTATGGAATAACAAACACTATGCCCTACTCTTTTTCTTTATTTTTCCTTTACTCGGTTCTTTTTCTAAACCTGAAATTTTTCCTCTTGATCTATCTATATGTCTGTCTGTCTATCTATCTATCTATCTATCATCCATATATCTGTCTCGCTTTCTTTTGTCTTTCCTTCTGTTTCTTTTTCTTTCTCTCTTTCTCTCTCTCTGCCTCTCCTTTGAAGAGGAAAGAAAGAGCGAAGAGAAATGGAATGAAAGATGAAAGAAATCTCTCTCTCTCTCATATACTTACACACACACACACACAGACAAACGCAACACTCAAGAATTTCTAAATCGTCAAAAATTAATGATTAGTTTTCCTCTTTTTCAACACCTTTTACGTCGCTTACAGACGCACAAAAAAAAACCAATTATTTCTATACATATGTTAACCTATACATATATAAACATTTTCTCATCTCTTCTCTTTTGCAATCCTAATTATTTCTATCTGTTCGTCTATCTATCTATCTATCTACATATCTATCTATCTATTGATCTATCTATCTAACTATCCATTGCCGTCTCTAATCTTTAAAACGAGGATATTAGTTATGTGTATACCGAATTTCACGAACGAATTAGTTATATCTTTTTTGTATATTTACTGTTATATATTGGGAAGAGAAGAACAAGTATATTAAAAACTGCATAACGATGGCGATGGGCGACGACGACGACGACAGTGCACGATATTGTAGAACTCTAATTCGAGATGAAGATGAAAAATAATAGAAAGTCATTAATGTGATACGAATTGATTCTTTTTAATAAAACAAGACTCTGTCGCTTATTTTCCTTCAACATTCATTTATAGAGAAATCTCTTGCTTTAATTAATTAAATCATTAATTAACAAATTAATCGGAAAGGAAAGTCAAAGAAAAGACAATTTCTTAAAATTTCAACTCTTGCTAGTCTTCATATTTCACCTTAATATTTTCTATTTATAGAGATTGAGCGAACGATGGAGAGAGGAGGGAGATACTTAAAGACAGGGCAAAGGAAGAGACAATATACTCTTATCTAATTACTAATTTTACATATTTACTCAAGTAGTCGTTCGGTTTTTCAACAAACAGCAAAAAAAGACACTCAAAATAACGAGAGCAATTCGCTCCATTCTCTTTTGTATTATCATCTCTTTATTTAAACATAGATGCAAATTTTTTCTCTCTTTTTCTCGTCTTAGCTTTTGTTCTTTGTCTAATTAACGAGGACACATAGCATGACGACCTCCGTCAACAGGTAAAGTAGCACCAGTTATAAAAGATGATGACTCTTTCGAAGCGAGGAAAGCTATTGCTTCGGCTACTTCGTCCGGTTGACCTGGTCTGCCTAGGGCGTGCGTTTCTTTAGTTCTTTTCAAGAATTGCTCGTAAGCCTGCTCGTCAAGGCCTCCTCTTTTCTGCAGCTCGGTTACAATGACTCCTAATTAATAAACGCATTATGTAATTGCAATAATTGTCCTCAACAAACTCTTACTAATTTCCTTTATAGCTGCCTACTTACTCCATTTATCTACCAATCTATCTATCTATCTTTAGCCTTCGTCTATCGAGCTGGACTACTTAATTATTCTTACCTGGATTAACGGCATTAACGCGAACTTTATAATCTGCCAATTCCAAGGCCGTGCATCTCGTCAATTGATCGACAGCGGCCTTAGATACTCCGTAAGCTAGAACGTTAGGAAATGATCTTGATCCAACAACCGACGATACGTTAACGACACTTCCTTCGGTTTCTTTGAGATGAGGCGTAGCCAACATCATCAGCTGATAGAGAGATCTAACGTTAGCGTTCATAACACGATCGTATTGGGCAAGAGTGGTCTTTTCGATGGAACCCATCTCCATAATTCCGGCATTATTAACTAGAATATCGAGGCGTTTGTAATGCTTTATAACCGAATCTATTAATGTTTCAACGTCATTTTCATTCGTCAATTCAGCAGTTTGATAGAAAGGTTTCCTGGAGCTAATTTCTTGGCATTTCTTAACAACTGCCTCTAGATTTTTTTCGTTTCTGCCCGTCAAAGCCAGTTCGGCCCCGTGCTTGGCGAATAAAAGCGCTGTAGCCGCTCCTATACCAGAGCTTGCTCCTATATAATCAAATGCATTACATTATTACATACATATATATATGCAGGCAAATTGCTGGCAAAGCATCTCTCTTAGCCTCTTAATACATACCTGTAATAAGAGCTATTTTGCCTGCTAATCCTGACATTGCTATTTCGTTAGCCACTGGCGTCTGTCTATCTGTGCTTTTTGAACTCGACCAAAGCTACTCTACTCAACCGTTAGATAATCAATAGATAGTTGCAATTCAATTTATACGCGCAATGCAACCTATTTATATATACAGTATATATATGTACTGTATATATATCCAGTCTTATGAACGTGTTTTAATCTTTTTTCTCTCTATCCGTTTCCTTTCTGACGCATGCGCAGCCGGAAACCTACTTTCGAAATGCTTTCCGACTATTTCTCAATAATTCTACTATTGAGAAAAAAGGATTTATGATGTGTTGTAATGCATATATATGTGTTTATATACATAAAGGTTAATAACCCTTATATAATATATATATGTATATATATTTACACACTATAGACTGACGGAAAAAGCATTGCCCATACCGGCATCTATACCCTTCTACTTTCTTTAATGTTTTCTTTTTAATAAAAGACGCTTAGAATAAAATAGTATGGAATAAAAAAATGTTCTCTACTATATATTATGCAATTGGAACGTTGATCTTTAGTATTCTATTCTATTTTTAAACATTTATATATCTCTTTCCACTCAACATCAGCATTGTAAACAAGAAATTTTCAATATTGACCTTGACATTGGCTATTTCGATTTTTCTGCAATACTTTTTTTTTCGCAACTAACATCGAGTAGAGAATGTTATGAAACACTAGACAAAAAAACGTTAAACTTGGACAACTGACAACATCGACTTTCAAAATGGCGGCGTCCACAAATGCTACTCTATCTTTTAGATGGTTGGAATTACTGGAAAAAGAATTCGACAAGGCATTTGTCGATTTGGATTTGCTATTGGGAGAAATAGATCCAGATCAATGCGATATAACTCTGGAAGGTCGAGAAAAAATGACGGCGCTAAGCGCCGCTTTTGCCCAACTTTGCCACAAAGCGCAAACGATTTTTCAAGCCAATGCCAAACTTGAAGTTAGTTTTGTTTTAGCATTATTTTATGAAAAAGCTGTCGAAACATAGATGATGAATCATTTATTTTCGAAATTATACATTTGCAATAATTTTTTATATGCGTATTTCGAATGGAAACTATCTTCCTCAAGCGCCTAGTTTTGCTTCGTATTTAATATATAAGTAACACATTTAAATATATATATATACTAATATATACACATGTATATTTATATGTTCAGATACATAAACATGTACTTATATATAAATACAAATTATAGCGGCATATTGTTCTACTCTTTGACTCTTTTATAATTGATATTGATGACGGTGCTATCGTCAGAGATCAGCATCAAGACATTCCATTTAAATGGAAAGAAAATTTGTCTTTCTATTCATTTTTATATAATTTTCATTTTCTTAGAAAAGAGAAATTTACATAAAAATATTAAACATGTCTGCTGAAATGTAAATTGGCTTTTGTTTACTTCTCTTTACTCAACTATGTTACGCCTATTACGTAGATAAATACTTTGTTTTATTCCTTCAGGCACAATTAGTCGACATGAGATCCGATATTCACGAAGTACGCGGAACAAAGAGTATCCTCGAGAAAGAAGTTCATAATACTCTGTTAGCTCTCCACAAAAGCCAGGTGGAGATGCAGGAGAAATTAGGCGTACACGTAACGGACGTAGAATCCGAAACAATTAAAAAGAAATTGGTTCGTAAATATTCTCCGCCTTTTATTCTCTCTTATAATAATGTTTCTATGATTTTTGCAGGAGGAAGAAATACAGGCTCGAAAGAAAGTCGCTCTACCTGAGAAAAAGCTTGATGCCGAAGTAAAAGAACTTCGCCGCGAAAATTCAGAGCTTCGACAATTTATTCTGGCTTTACAAAGTGAAGTATACGGAGCACGTTTAGCTGCAAAATACTTGGACAAAGAATTGGCCGGAAGGTTAGCTTTCCTTTTATGACAACATTTCTTTATTTTCTCTTTTATCACTATTTACCATCTAGAATAAATATAATTTATCTAACCCTGTTTCTCTCCCTCTCTGCCTCCCTTCCCCCTCCCTGCCCCGTCCTCCCTCTTCCCCTTCACATATGAACATATGTATATATAGCCGCTATTGCCCCTATCATTCCCATACTTTATTCTACAATCGTTGTAGTACAACAGTTGGCTTAATTTCTTTTCTTCTCTTTTTAGAATCCAACAAATTCAACTAATTAATAGAGATATTAAGGGACCCGAACACGACAAAGTTTGGAATCAGTTAGAAGCCGAAATTCATTTACATCGTCACAAAACAGTCATTAGGGCTTGTAGAGGTCGGAATGCTAAAAACAAAAAGTTACCCTCTCCCCCCGAACACGATTTTCAAACTCTTAAAAAGCAGCAAGGAGTAGGAGAGGTTGGAATATTTTTCTAATATATTCTCTATTACTTTGCTTTTTTTTTTACCATTTTATCAAGAAATATTATTTATTATTTTAATATCATTACGGTTTATTAAGGAGAGAAACATAAAGAACAGTAATGCCTTTTTATATTCTGGTTATAAATAGCGGGAAAAAGAAAAAAACAATTACTTTTTAACCCTGTCAGAGTAAAAATGCTTGTTACAGTTCTGCACCTGTAATGTTCTTTTACTTTTTAAGCTTCATAATCTGCATTATCTCGTGTCTTTCATGCTATTTTCATACTTTCTCATTAATATAACAGTCACTCTTTAAATTAGGTACGGACAGTAAGTTTGTACAAAGGACCGGACGAGGGGTTAGGAATAAGTATAACTGGTGGAAAAGAACACGGAGTACCGATTCTCATCTCTGAAATACACGAAGGTCAACCTGCGGAAAAATGCTCAGCTCTTTACGTCGGAGACGCTATCCTCGCTGTCAACGGTATAGATCTTCGAGGGGCAAAGCATACAGAAGCAGTTAATGTTTTATCTCGGCAGGTTAGCTACGTATTTAATGTGTGTATATAAAGTAGCAAACACGCAACGTATGCTACATAGAGCTCGCACAAAGTTGTACATATCCAGTATATAAAAGTATATTAAAGTTAAAAAGAAAATTAAGACGTAACGACGCCCTCTGCTGTATTATTTTGGCAAAAAAAGAAAAGTTGATTTTGCAGAGGAAGTAAGCAATTATAGGAAGTAGTTAATTAATTTGAACTTTTTTGTATGGATTTTATGGGATTGAAGCAGATATTTCCGAAAAAGAAAAAACAAACAATAAATAGGAGAATATTAAAAAATAAATGCTAATAAAACTAATTGTAAAATTCTAGTATAATGAAAACGTTTAAAAATATTTACGGTAATGAAAAAATTTGCTTTTAATTCGATTGGATAGAAATGTTTTATTGATTTTTAGAATAATTACGGAAGCAATTAAATACCTTTCCAACAATTAGAAAAAAGTATTAATTATTGTTTTAAAATTCCTAGTACCTTATCGTTCTCTATTGAAAAGAAGGCAAAGAGTTAATGCAGCTAAAAAAAGTGTAGTTTTACACTGCGACTAATCCGAGTTGTTTTTTTAGTAGTTAATTAATTTTACTTAGCCGTCCTGAGACTGCTGTAAAGACTATATATATAAATATATATATACTGTATATAAATGTATATATATATGATGTATGTACAGCATACATCATAGCTTTGAAGAGAGTCAGACTTATTTCCAATCCTTTCTTCTCTTCTATGTTAATATACATGCAGACAAAATAGGAAGCACAAGTATATATCGAAAATAAATACTTATGAATAGGATTTTATTTATTGTTAGATTAGTAATTTTCGTCCTCTTTCTATTGCTATATACTAACATATTTCTATATTTAAATAGCAAGGTGATATCGAAATGAAGGTAGTTTTCGTCGCTCCCGACGACGAAAGTGACGATGATCAGACTGACGTGGAGGACGCCTATGGATTTCGGTAATATATAAATTTATATTCAGTATATATACAGTCTATATATATATATATATGTATATATACCGTATATACTATATGTTTACAGTATATAACAATTTTATTAAAATCAATATACTTATTCCTTTTTTAGCTTGCATCTATCTCTTCGCTTTAAAATTAAACAATTATATCAAGTTTTTAATATACAGTACCGATACCCTATTTTTGGCCACCATTTTTTTTTTTGAAAATTAAATTTTTTTTCAACTTTGGCCTAAGCAAGATGTTTTTACCAGAAATTAAAATGAAGACAAATTATCTATCCTTACTTGAGAATTATAAAAGCTGTATTTAATACAAACTTGATAAGAAAAATATATCTTTTCATCAATGAGGTGTTAAAATCGATTTTTCTATATTTTTTAAAATAAGAATAATGAAGTTGCGAATGGTAAAAATGAAAGTCATTTTGTAACAGTATTAGATAATTTGTGAAAATTATTCTTGAATATTTATCACTTACTACTTTTACTTAATTAACCAATTTAGTCAATGTTTGCATAAATCAATAATTTTCTTATTTCTATTGTGATAAACAAAGATTTTATAAATCTCACTTAAAGATAGATGAGTTGTCCTTATTTTAACTTCTCTTTAAAACATCTTGTTTAGGCCAAAAAAAAGAAAAATTCATTTTTGGAAAAAAAAAAAAACAAGTGGCTAAAAATAGGGTACCTGTACTGTATTTATATTTATATGTATTTATTTATTCAGATATAGAATATTCGATGAAGTTGTTTGCGATTCTCCCATTAACAATACTGTTAATGGGGCTGTTGATAATGGTCCAGTTGCTAGTAGGGGAGCAAGCGTTGAAAGGATGTCTGGCGATGAGCCTGTAAGTATAGAATATGGCAGACACTAAAAGATATCCCAACTATAACCGATCTATAATTGACTACATTTTTAAAATACTTTAATAGGCTCCAAGCGCAAGTTCCAGCGTTCAAAATTCACCTGACAAAAAGCCTTTGCTACAGACTAACAGTCCAAGGTAAATAGTGATTATTTAATAGTTTGACTAAATACTAAAAGTGATATATTTGATATTTAGTGAAGAGTAGACATTTTTACATTCTAACACTAATATATTTTTACTAGTAGTAGAATTTAATTTGTAAAAAGATACGAAAATTAAGACTTAAAAGAGACTTTTATTATCAATGTATGAACACGATATAAAAAACCTTTTACGCACACATTTCGATTAGCATCTAGTTTGCACTTGATTATTTGTAAAATCGTATTATTTTTATTTGACAATAAAACTTGTAAACGTCAGAAGCTGTTAACAACCTTTGGAGCAAAGGTAAATTTTAAACTAAAGGTTTTAAAGCATGCTATTTAAGGGATATTTATCTATGATGGCATGATATTATTTCATTATATAGTTTTATGGCTTAAACTTTATTTTCCTTTTTTTTTTTATATTTTTTATTACGGTAAACGAGCATTTATATATACATATATATATATAAATATATATACATATATATATATATAAATATATATATATATATATGTAATTAAAAAGCGTATTTCTGCATCTTATGGATTAAATATCCTATTGTCGCTCCCAATTGGTTTATGATTATTTTGAATATTTCAGTTTTTCTTTTCTGTTCGTTTACATATATTACATAATACATCAAATATATATATATATATATATATATATATATATATATGCATATTCATTTATTTATTTATTACATATACAAGCATTAAGCGTATTGGTTTCATTTCTTTGACGATTGAGACAAAATATGCTCTTTGAGCAGTAGAAATATTTTTACTAACTTTATGTTTTTAACCTTCGAACAGCAATCAGAAAATTAACAATGAAGAAAATTGCACTACAGAAACGAACGAACAAACTGACACCATCAAAGAAGAGTAAGAAATATTAATAAATATTTATATATAGTTGAAATATATAAATAAAACGGGCAAATTTTTCAATTGCTTAGTTAATTTTTCGAATCTCATATCATTGCTTCGTTTTTTGTTAACATTTATAATTAACATATAAAGTATATCTAGTTGAAAATTTGTATCGAGTGCTAGTCTGTTGTGAATAATTAAAAAATGGAAATAAGGTGTTGGTCGCCTAGGTAACAAAAAATTACCGTCACAATAATGCATAAAATATATACATATATATATATATATATATATATATATACTGTATATATATATATATATTTTCCTATTTAGTTGTTTAATTATCTATATTTATTTTATTTATTTTATAATGATAAAAGGAAAAACTTTGAAAAATCTCTGAATTTTTGAATAAAGACTTCCGCTAATATATTGAACGAATTGAAAATTGCAGTTTTGATGCTTTTGTAACTGTTGATAATCGGTTAGTTTTTGTTGATTTTGCATAAAAATATGTTGATAAATTTCCTGGAAAAGAATAATGCTATATATAATTTTTCGCAAAGTTAGCGAAAAGAATCATTCAAGTCTTATGTGAAAGTAGAGAAAAGAAGAAGAAAAGAGGTGGAAAAATTGCACTTGTAAAACTAAAAATAACAAAAGGAAAGATTTTGTTGCACATATTTTTTTTTGCCTCTCCAATTCATTTGTCTATTGTCTTAATAAATGGAATAGGGAGAGGGCATAGATAGGCATTTATGGCGTTTAATTGATAATCTATGAATGAAATTAACACATATATGATTGCGTTTATATTTATGGATATATAAACCTAATATCGCTTATATAACTATATACAGTATTTATACAATATACTGTATACGTACTGTATACGTTCACCTTGACACTTATCCAATTACTTAATTCATTATTTACTTAGTTAATAATTATTTTTTTAAATTAGGAATACTCTTCAACGTATTCGTTAACCGAACTACCTTTTGGCGCCTTTCTTCTTATCCCTCCCTCCCGCACTCTTTTGCCTTTCATTCCACTCCTTTCTCTCGCCTTCTTCCCTTTTCCTAACCTCAACTCTGATCCTCCCTTCCGCTATGAAAATATAAGAGTAAATTCAACATTTTCTGCTTTCTGACCCTTCTACTACTATTCTCTTCCATTTCCGCTTTCCCATCCTTCGACGTCTTTTGAACTATTCAATTTAATTTTGAATAGTAATTCATTTAAACTTTTCCTTTCTTTTCAATAATTGACAAGGGTACCTTGTGACGTCACTAGTAACCATAATCTTATTCAAATAGATCAATATCGATAAAACCGTTTCATCTTTCCAGGATCCGTCTAATTATAGCATTTTTGTTACTTACTTAAACCAAATATAATTCGTGTGACGTCACTATTAGATCTATTTGCATCAGGTGAGACGGAGCTCCCTTCTTTTTTTCCGTTTACAATTATTCTTCTTTACCTTTAATGTTACCTGGGTAACAAAGCACGTGACAGCCTGAAAGACCCTTATTGGTTGGCGCCCTCGGCGCAAAGAGATGCCGTATAACGATTTATGAGTGCAGAAAGCAAACTCGTTACCCAAGGTTTGTTACTTTTCTATTCTTGTTTACTCGTTTTCTAGATTATGTATAGTGGACTCATTTACATCCTTCAGTAATTTTTACCTTCAACATATCTTAATCGTTTAACCATTTCACCTTCAAAGAGTTGAAGAAGAATTTTTTCAAATCTTGACATGATCTTCTTTACTTTTTTTGTTATCATCTACCACAGAAGACTTTTGCTAGCAATATATCATCTTTCCTCCTCTGTTTCCTTTTCAGTCTATCTAGCTGTCATTTGGCTGGTCAGCCAATTTTGCCTCTTGCTTTGTCGCCTTCTTCAATTCTCCACTCCCCCTTTCTCTCTCTCTGTCTCTCCCACCCATCCACGGGGACTTGACTGTTTATTCACCTGTTCATTCATTCATTCATTCGTTCATTCATTCGTTCGTCCGCTTACGCGAGTGATACTCATTCACATACCCATTCTACTCACAGCCAAATGATCTGTTCATACAAAATATACAAGGATCTAATCTTTCAATCCTTCAGTCTTTCCGTATTCCATGTAATTATCCGAAAATCGCATTTATTTTCTCTTTATACCGAATGTACTTTTGTTGTGTTTATATATAAAAACCAATATAATGTATACTTTATATATATTAGTATAATAATATCAGTTATATATAAATATATATATTTACATATACAGTATATATCTTCTTTCTCAAATGTTTGCTCTTAAATTGCGTATCAATAGGCCTATAATTGGCCTATCCTCGATAACATTTTTTCTTATCTTTTTTGGCTTGTTGCATATAGGAAATTTACCTTGAATATCAAACCGAAAAAAGTGCACCGGATTAACATGGAATGGAAGATATAGAATGAAACTAAATGAATCGGGCAGTCTTTCCCTAATTACCTCTCTACCAGGAGATATGGATGAAGAATACCTTCCACCTGAAGTAGTCGATGTATCGAGAGAAAACCTAAGAGCATTTCATCATACAAAAAGAGTTGGACAGTATCTGCTCGGACGAACCCTAGGACAAGGTTCTTTTGCCAAAGTGAAAGAAGCCATTCATATCTTAACAGGAGAAAAGGTTTGTATTTATTTTACAATTTCTACTATTCGTCTACATATCTCTCGACTAGAGAACTTTCAATCGTAATCTTTACACTTTCTCCATCCGTCTCTCTCCGTTTCGTTATCCATCCTCTCCCTTCCCCCTCCCCTCCATTCTGCCCAACCATAAACGACAAATAGTACTCTTAGATTGGAGGGGTCAATCTGTAGATATTTTCGTTTAAAAAACAGTTTAGCTGCCATTTTGAAAGTGTTAAAAAAAAAAGAGAAACTATTTGCCGATATCTATACATTCTCTTTACATATTTTTGATTGAACTCGCAAGCAGTGCCGATTAGCACGAGAGAAACGTAACTGTTTATACAAATAGAAATGAAAACAAAAAATAAGCGCCAACACCAGACTGAAGAGAAAAGACACCAATAAACGAACGAACCAACGAACGATAGAAACAAAACAAACAGGAAAAGGCCTATACTAAGAGTCGTAGCGTTTGTCTTTACCAAAATACTTGAATAGTGTTTACTAAACACTTGAAGATATTGAAGAAAAAAAGAAGCAAAATCTAACGAATTAGCATTTTTATTGAGTTGAATAATAGAAAAATGTTGATTGTATCAAAATATTTGTAAAAAAAAGAAAAACAAACATGCAATCTATTCAAAATCTTCAATCGCTATTTAATTACACAAGAAATCATAGGCAAGTAGGAGGAGGCGGAGGAGGAAAGAAGATGAATAAAAGCAAGAAAAAGAAGAAAACGAAGAAGAAGAGAACAAGAAGAGAAGACGAAGAGAAAGACGAGAGAAAGAGAAGAGAAAAGAGAAACAAAGAGAACAAGATAGAATAAAGATTAAGAAGAAGAAAATCTTAAGGTCAGGCAAAGAGAATGAGAACTGAGTACAAGCGAAAGAAAAGAGATTGTGTAACCATTTCGAAGATTGAATTTTGGAGAAAATGTCTATTAATATCTTTATATAAACGTCTTATTGTTTACTTAAAACTTCTTAAACAAACATAAATCATTTTTTGTGGCCTTCTCCAACCGATATTGAAAAATTTATTACCTTTTAAATAAGCAAATCGCCGTCTTCCATTACGATCTCTTTTCTTTATTTTTCACTTTTCTCTCTCTCTCTCTCTCTCTCTTTCTCCCTTCCGCGCTCACGTGCCCCTTTCTTTCTTCAGCCAATTAGGTTGTCCTATTCGTCGGAAATGACGTTTCTTTTGGTCTCGATCTTAGTTCAATGCCATCATACATCCCAACTACATTATGCTCTATTTGCAAACCAAGATTGCATCTTTTAACATTTATGCACACACCTTTTATAGTTGAAAGACAGTAAAGGTTGAAGTAGGCGGCGTCCAATCAATGGAACTAGCCAGTTGTCCATCTTCTTTTCTAAAAATACCTTTCAAAGCATGACTTTGACAGGTAGAGGGAAAAATTAGACAGCAATATTCTATATTTTTCTTGCTTCTACACCGTGTGCGACTTTTCGGTTGGTTGAGTTGTTTGTCTAAAGAAATTGACTAAAAGCGTCAATAAAATATGTATGACATTTACGATATTTTAGATCTAACAAGGCCGCTATTTGAACTTTTAATAGGCAATGACAGGTAAATAGGTAGGTAGCGAGGGAAGGCGAAGGAGAGAGAGAAAGAGAGAAGGAAAGAAAGAAAGGTAGGAGAGATAGACAGGTAGGAAGATGGGCAAATGTACGGATAGGTAAATTCCTAGGTAAGAGGGATTTGTGGAAAGAAATGAGGAAGGGAGAAAGGGAGAGAGAACGATAGATACACTGTATAAAGAAATAAGTAGTATTTTGACAAGTAGATGGATTTAGACAGAAAGAAATTTAAGGATTAAACGAGAGCGAGAGAGAGAGAGAGAAAGAAGGAAAGAGAACAAATGTAGAGTTAGTTTATCGGCTTTATATTTATTTGAAAAAGCAAGAGTCCATAAAATAGAGAAAAATAAAAAGATAAACGTCGTAGAAATAAAATTGACAAATGACCATAAAAAAAATTAATAATTCTCTTGTTCGAACAGTTGATTGAACCTTAAACTATTGTTTCAGGTTGCCGTCAAGGTCATCGATAAAAAAGCTGCAAGGTCGGATGCTTATGTCAGAAAAAACTTGAGAAGGGAAGGTAAACTTTTGCAGTTGGTTTGTCACCGTCACGTTGTACGTTTATACGAGATTATGGAAACCGAAAACTCGTACTATCTCGTTACGGAACTATGCAGCGGTGGAGATTTAATGGATTATATTTGCGTAAAGAGAAAACTACCAGAGGAGGAAACTAGAAAATTTATTAGACAAATTCTATCAGCCGTTCACTATTTACATAGAAGTGGCATTTTGCACAGAGACTTGAAAATTGAAAACTTGCTTTTGGACGAAAATCGAGATATTAAAATTATTGGTTAGTGCTCTTATTTTTCCCCATTCATTTATCCGTCTCTGTTAATTCTTTTCTCCTCCCACCCTTCCTTGCGTTAATCGTTTCATAAGGTCTGATTCTACAAGAGAAATGCCTATACTCTCAATCCATTTGAACTTTCTTCCATCTTTTCTCTCTCTCTCTCTCTCTCTCTCTCTCACTCTCTCTCTCTCTCTAGGTCATTGTACAATCGAACGTTGTACTCTTGAAAAATTTCAAGCCGAGACTAATCTTGTAATACTCCGATATCATAGAATTGTAATTATTGATAGTAGTAGCTTAGTCCTATGGCATTTAATTTGAAATAATCTATGCGTATGGACAAAATCAACGCAAATTGGCTCTTTTTTCTTTATATTTAATCTTGTTGAAGAGGCTACTTTAAGATCTTTGTTGAACAGATGAAGAAGAGAGATAGAGAGAGGTAACAAGATAGTCGTATTCTTAGTGTTTTTCTTTTAATGAAAAGGAGTCTGTCTTTTCAACTCTCTCTCTCTCTCGCTGTTTTCTCAACTTTCTCCCGCCAATCTTAATCCTTCTCAACTTTTGATGTATCAATCTCTACTCTATTCGCAGAATCATTCAATAGAAGGGAAAGAGAGAGAAAAGTGGACAGTACTCGAAATAAAGTAATTTTATTTATTTTTCCTATTCAGATTTTGGATTAAGTAATTCTATTAAAGTGAAAACTGAAGGAAACGTTGTTCTACCCCAGGAACTTTGTGTCACACAATGCGGAAGTCCAGCCTATGCGGCTCCAGAACTATTAGGAAATGATAAATACGGACCGCAAGTTGACGTTTGGAGCATGTAAGTGATAGCTAAGCGTCCTATTGCCCATGGTTTTCTTTTTATTTAATCGTTTAGGCTGGTGAAAATCATTCAGAGGTTTCCTTTTTTTTTAGCGTTTTTTAATATAAAATAAGGTTTGTTAAGAATGTCTGAATGGTTTTTGGGTTTGGGGTTACAGGAAGGGAAAACGAAAGAGAAAGAAAGGGTGAGTGAGTGAGAGAAAGAGAGAGAGACGGAGAGTGATTGAGAAAAAAAAACAGGTGCCTCTACCTAAAATCAATAAGAACATAGCAAGCCGATATTGATTAGTTTAATTAAATTTCCCCCTTTTTTTAATTGACCTAAATCTAAAACATATTGTTTCCTTCCAAATTTCTTTCATCACCTTAAAAATTTATACAATTAATTAAGAATATTTCATGTTTTTTCTTTCTCAGAGGCGTCAATATGTACGCTATGCTTACTGGAACTTTGCCGTTTACTGTCGATCCTTTCAATATCAAGACCTTGCACGCTAAAATGCTCAAAGGATCGATCAATAAGATTCCGGATAATCTTAGTGAAGGTACGTATTTATTCATCTATTATCGTTGCATTTTTCAAGTACTACAAGTAAATATGCAGTCCATAAAGTTGACACTTTTTATTATAAAACATTCTCCGTATCCAGGCGAGGGGGCTTTGCCTCTCATTTCCCTTCCTTCCTCCCTCTTTCTTTAGTTTTTTATCCACTGTTTCCCTCCTGTGTCCCTACTCTTTTCGTCATACTCTCCTCTCCTCTCAAGGAGTTTCTTTCTCTTTATCTATTCTTCCTTCCTGCTTGTCTCCATTACCAGTCTACAAAAGATTAATGACATAACTACAAGTAAATCCGCTGACACTTAAATAGTATATTTCAGCTAATTAAAGTATATCCTGTACTCCATGTAGGAAACATACACACATATATTATGATTGAGTAATTAGTATTAGCAATTCTGTATATCTATACAACACACCTTTTTATAAGGAAAATTTTTTACATATACATCATATATTAGTTTAATCTACAGAGTAATCTCTCTCTCTCCCTCCTGATTGAATTATACCTCTTCTACAGTATTCTTCCTTTCCAACCCCCTGAATTAGTAAGGTGAAAACTAACAAACCATTTCCGTTTTTCTCTCGTCTAGGTAGCGTGATAAAAATGAGTTTGATAGGCGAAATTAATTCCGACTTTCTCCTCTTTTCCTCGAGCTGTTTGATGATGGCATTGATTTCACTTGGTCGTGACTGTTAAACACAACTAAGCCTATACTTGCACGGAAAAATCATAGGTAGCATTCCCCTTCTATTAAAAATCTATTTTTAATAGACGGAGACTGAGAATGAATTAGAACATACTTTCCCCTTTTAACCCTTTTAAGCGCACAGTTTTGTAGAAGGGAGAGCTGGAAAATTTTCCGAATCTATTGAAAAAGGTACACTGATAGCTTTCTTTATCTCTCTCTTCAGTTTCTCCCTTGAGAATAATTTCAGAAATGTGCAAAACATCGCTATTAAAAACCATTAAAACAACCAACTGACTAAGTAATTAAACTCGATTGCCCCCGTTTCTAATTATACTGAAAATGCCATTTTCCTAACCTTTTCTCTTCCCCTATCTACAGGACAAGATCATGAAAAGAGTGTCAATCTTATTCCTTGGCTTTTTATTTTTTTCTCTTTTTAACCCTAACCCAGTCAATCCTTTTACCTTATTAATTCTAAAATTTTCATTATATCTCTTTTTCACCCTCTCCTCACAGATTGCAAGCAGTTAATTCATCAGTTTTTGATTGCCGATCCGAACAAGAGGATCACTATTGAAGGAGCCTTGAAGCACGATTGGATTACGAAACGTAAGCAATGCTTATGAATATTTAATATGTTCTATTCCTTTTTACGTACTTGTGTAAAAGATAAAAGAGTACTTAGTGAGGCCTAGTTGAAAAACAAACGCAATATATAAAGGATAGCGGAAAGGAGAATGTTTCTTGTAAGGCTTTACTGACAATTTGTAATATGAATTATACAGTAATTTTAATTAAAATCTATTTAAAGAGCTTTCTACAAGTCGTAGTATGTCAACTTGGCTTGATAAATAATCCATAGACCGATGTAGGTTGATAATTACCTAAAGGTGTAATATTTATAGAAAGTCTATCAATTATGAACAAATATCTCTCAAAAGATGCATTTACTAGACGATCCAGGATGAACTGTATTGATAAATTCTCTTCTTTAGTTCTTTTTTTATTTGCCTTCTTTCTTCCTCTCCATCTTTTATTCATTTATCTATCTATCTATCCGTTTATGCATGCATACGTACATTTCCTTATTTGCCCGTTTCATGGCAAAGAGAGCAGAGATGCGATACATTCATTATTGATCCCATACTTTATGTTCCATATAAGCAAAATGTTTTCCTAATCAAAAGATAGAAGCTATTAAGGATAATCCTGACTTAACTCTATATAATTTATGTCTATTTAAGATGCTATACTACCTCTGTCTCGTGTTTGTTGTTGTTGTTATTGTTGCTATAATTTAGCCGCCGCGGCTTGTTGCAAATAATTAAGTTTATCCCTCGCTCTCTCGCTCTCTCTCTCTCTCTTTCTCTTTCCCTCTCATTCGTAATTTAGAATCGGTTTCATAATTGTTTACGTTCGCTCATTTATTCAGTCACATATAATCACGTGGGTAGACGAGTACGTACGTAGGCAGGCATTCTCTTTTTACCTCAATACCTGTTCTTCAATGTATTAACTAATACAACGCTTTTCTTTATTTAGAATCGACGGACCCTCTTGAAACTGCTCCCTTTCCCAATAAACTTCGATCTGACGATCTGGACATGACCATCATCAAACACATGACTTATAAAATGAGTTTTCGTCTAAGTGACGTTATCAGATTGGTCAGTAATAATATACCAAACACTAGTAGTGCCACCTATCATCTGTTGGTTCGTCGCCTCGAAAAGTTCAACAATAGAGAGAAATTGGCGGCGACTGTTTTGAGCGCTGGAGATATTTTAGAATTTGGAAATTCGAATAATAGAAAGGACGAGAATAAAAACGTTGAAAGAGAGGAAGTCAAACCGCCAAAGAGGCTGACTAGTATTAAGAATGCGGAGAGAAAACTTCAAAAGCGGCGTGTCATGAAGGCCAATCACGTTCTGGGAAAACGAACAGAATCAAACAACTCCGACCACAACAACAATCCTCCACCGAATCCGTCCAAGTCAACAGAACCAAAAATTCTTCCAATACTTCCCAATAGGAAGTCAAGTATAACCAGGGCTAGTACGGGCCTATCAACCGATATAGTCAAGTCACCAAAAACTCTTGACGAAAGACGAATTGGCACTGCGAAAATTTTCCCTTCAATGACGTCACCGAGAACTTCTTCAACTTCAAGATATAGTTCGGCCCTTTTGCCTAGAAGACGTACGTCTACAAATTCCTATTTGCCTTCCATATCCTCTGAATTAAACGACTAGTCAATCAAGGAAACAAAGACGCGAAAAGAGGGAAGAAATGCTTCGTTGTTAATCCTCTTTCAAGTTTCTTTGTTCAAACTGATCAAATCTTATATGAATAGATTTTTTATATCTATATTTATATAACTATTATATAAATATTGTATGAAAACCCTAATTTTTATCCCATCGTTTTTTGCCCCCTCATCAATTCTGTTTTAAACTGCAAAACAACATTACGAACAGAAGATGAACAAACAATTAAATAAACAAACAGACAGACTAACAGAATATTCAGCTTATAAATAGGTTGTTGTACCACGTCTCTCTATCTTTTCCTACTTCGGTCTCCCTCAGTCTGCCTGACGCCCGTGACAAACAACCTCCATCTACTTTGTAATATTTTTCTTACAAGTCCACCGTAAGAAAGAATATCTTCCTTATCCTGATTCTCTGTCAAACCGCTTATGTTTGCTACTGACAAAAGGAACTTTATGTCCTGGCTCTTCACCTGCATCTTTCGTAAAGAGAGCATTTAGACGACGAACGAAGAAAGGAAGAAAGAGTAGAAAAAAACGACAAGAAAATAATAATCATAATTTTACTACCTGGACGAGTATCGTATCGAATGAAATTTCTCCCATTAGCGTATAGTTGTAGAAATGGCAAAAAGACACGGCAGTTATGACTCTTTTTGAAATCATCCAACTGTTGCGAAGAGAGAAAACGCTAGAAGAATTTTTATAGTCTTCTAATTTGTCGAATGTGGCGTCGGCTGTTAGAAAATTGCTGTACATTTCCCTCACAAAAGCTGAACCTATTAGAGAAATACGAGGGATAATAACAATACACAACAGTCGACGCTAGTCAAATCTATATTGTACTTACTACTTTCTAAACGACTCCTATTAATAGCTTTCAGTTTTTCATTTCTGAAAAGAAACGTTCTTGATATCACTAATTGTGAATAGATAAGGAAAATCGAATATAGTTATCGATGACCGACAGCGTCCTCTTCGCTCTTTTCCTATTGTTCTTGTAGTACTTTTTCACGTCGTTGAACGTATACAAGAAAGGATTTATAACAGAGTTGATGGGCAGAATCACTGTTAGCAATGTAGTATAGATTTCTTTTGAAATGACCAATTTAAAAAACACTGAATAGATTCCTTTAGAAAGCAGGTTAACAGAGCGAGAATCAGAGGCGGCAGGTTAATCGTTCATAGTTTACCTACCTAAAAATGATATTGGAAACCAGCACAGGACATTCGTTATAGCAATCATAAACACTCTCAATTTGATCTTTCCCTGCTGTTGCTTGAATAATGATTCGCCAACTAAACTCTTCGATTGTAGTGTTCTCTTCCATATTTTAAAGTAGATAATACAGATGAACAAACAGATTAAACTAATCGCGCAGCTAAACAAAACAAACGAGTAGAACCATCCTTCCTTCTTCTCGCTCGAAATATGCAATGAAAAGCACATGGAAGTCTTCGAATAGTAGTCCTACAAAGCGATAAATATCCGTTATCTTTCGATAATTATACAGTATTACTATTGTTATTGTTACGTCATAAACGAAATAGGGTAGGATGGAAAGGATCAACGAGGAGGAAGAGATGATTATCGTAACAATCCATAAAACTTTTGATTGGAAAATATTAAACGTGGGATACATGATAGCTTGTTGTCTTTCTATTGTTAGAAATAATAGACTAAAAGTTGATAATAGAATTGAGAAACTGCATAACATTCCCATCAATGAACACTTTAAACTATTCCTCCATTCGTAATCATTTTCAATATACTTTCCTCTAAGAGTTAAATCCGTCACTCCAATCGATAGGAAATAGATTGAAGTCGCCAAATCGCCAAACGATAAACTCAAATTGAAATGGCTACGCTTTAATTTCGAAAATCCAATCCTAAATATCAAAGATCCCATATTCTCAATTAACCCTATCACATTCATTATCCACAAAATTGATCTTAGTAGCTTCGACGCCATTAGATCGGCGCACGAATTGAATAACGATCTCATGGGTTGGCAATTCTTCATTCTCCCTAAATACTTGCCAGCAAGACAACACAGCTCAAAGTATTCGCTAATCAGATTTTCCAGATTTTTCAAATGGTCAACGCGAATCCTATTGGTCGACATGCGGAGAATTGTGGATTTTCTCAATAGAAGATCTTTCAACGACAACAGATCGGAAAACGATTCCCGATCAATATCCCGAAAACGACACAAACTCAAGTTCAACTGTTCAAGTTTGTTCAATTGTTTGAAAAGTAAAGCAGTCAACTTTGTTAAATTAGTCATTGATAAATCGAGCTTTTTAAGATTTTTAAATATGCCAAAAGAAAAGAGAGAAGGTACCATCAGTGGAGTTTTTCGGAAAATTATTATCTGTACTTTGGCCATACTATAATCGTCTAAACCGTACAAAGATATCATTCTATTGTTCGACATATTTGCTATCAACAAATTTGGGAATTTCCTCGCAATTACACCCATTTTTTCAACACTTTTTCTAATTGTTAAATAGGTTAGGCTTACGTACGTTTCTTCAATTAAAAATGCGTTCAAATTAGACTTTGCATTCGAAATGACCAACTTCTTCCAATAATAATGAATGGGTATTGTTCTTGACGAATTTTTGGTCGTCATCATTGAAGGAGACGCCTCAAAATTACAACTGACAGAGTAGAATGAGTCGCATGCGCATGAGGTCGGGCAAGAATTCGAACTGTTGCAGTATAATTCGTCGCTTCCCTTTAGGCACTCTACTATTCCATTGCAAACGTCCGAAAGGAGAATGTAGAATCTTTCCTCTCTGCACTTGAAGTATCCTTTCGGTTTGAAGTTGTCTATTTGATTTTAATAACGGAAAAAGAGGAAAACGCTAACGAAAAGAAGAGAAACAGTAAGCGAAATTTGAAGGCAACAAACCGCAATTGACTTCGTCATCGTACTCATTACAGTGAACAATTCCGTCGCAAATTTGTTTGATTGATATACAATAACCGCCATTTCGACATAAATATTCGCCAACATTACACTTTTGAATATTGCAACCGTCCAGAGCCAGGTAGGGAAAATGGACTTTTGTTAAAAGATTCCCCATAGAATCGTACTCTACACGGCAATTTCTTTTAAATCTTCTATAAGTCCTCTTTATCCAAAAGCAAATGTTCTTTCCATTATTTAATTTATACCTCTTCTGACAAGACTGGGCTGTTTCGTCGGATATGTCCAGGCAATCCTTATGAAAGTCGCACGTGTCATTTATAGGTATACATTTACTGTCGCAATGATAATAGTCCTCATTGTTACTGCAATCTTTAAATAAGACGTTAATAGTGTTGACTCGACCGTCTAGTTGGTTGATAAGCGTAAATAATTTCTACTTATGTTCTCAAAATAGCCATCGTTTAATCCGTATTCGAGAGGTGATGAGCAAATTTCATCACTTCCGTCAAGGCAATTTATCTCGCTATTACAAAATTGTTTCTCTTCAATACATTCCTTATTGGAACAGCTTAAAAAAAGAATTTACTAATTAACAGAGTGTTTAGGGAAGTTAGGTTTAGGGTTAAAAGTTTTAGTCTTCTGTATATTTGCATTTGAAACCAATCAAAGAAACAAACACTCAACCTTTTCTTGGCTAAACATTCCTTAACAGCTTTATTAAGTAAAAATGGAGCAAGTTGGAAAAAGGGATAAAAAAAATAAGTCTGTTTTTATCGTTTGTTATCATCGCTCTTAATTTGGATCCTACCACAGTTTTTTTCATCTTTTCCATTAGAACAATCGTCTATATGGTCGCATACTTGCTTAAAATCTACTTCGTACGTATCGTTACAAGAAAATCCATCAACAAATACGCAATCGTCCTGCTCGTCTTCCCCCGAAAAGCAATCCCTCTTTCCATCGCATTGATAAATGGCGTTGATAAAAATCGCATCGTCTGAACAGTAGAACAATTGCAAAGAGGAGCGTAATATTGTTGTGATATTTAATAATGTATTTTCAACGGCTTTACTCAAAAATGACACTTTGTCGACTTTTCCCTCGTTTACAAAAACTAGTGGAGGAAAAAGAAAAGCAACCATCTCACCCACCTTTCTTCCATTAAACATGTTCATTACCTGGTTCCATGCAGGATAACACCGATATTAGCTTTTCCCGACAATCTACAGGCTTTATATTATACGACTTTTTGTCGAACGGTAATTTCAAATAGGTGGAGAGCTTTTTGTATTTGACGACCGTTTTATAAAAGAAACAGGATGATAGTTTTGAACTGGTTTGCGTTTCAACTCCTTCAGTCGTGTATTTTGTACAAAGATCTTTCAAGCTGAAAAATAATAGGCAATTGATTTTTTGCTTTCTTTCCTTCTTCTCCTAATAATAGTAAATAACTATCTGTAATTTTCCTCGAATGACGTAAAATCGTATGGTTTCTTATCCAAATGTACAACTGTTGAGAAATTCCTTCTATCTTTCACCACTGTCATTTCTTGACCGTTCAAATGCAGATGGAAAGAAAGCAAGGAAACAAAAGTTTACTCGGAGAATTTTGAATAGAAAAAGGAAATATTATTTTGTCGTCAAGCATACTTCCTGCCAATTTAAAATCGTCGAGAAGTTGAAAACTCTTCAAGTTCTTTTCAGTTTGAGTTGATAAAATTTTCAATTTGAGGAGAAAAACTATAAATTTAAAGCTGTCGAAAGATAGAAAGGCCAGAGTGCCATTTCTCCCCTTACAGAATCTTTCATTCTCCAGAACTGATATTCTTCTTGGAGGTTCGGCAATCGTATGGCATACACTTCGGAACAAGAAGGCCTTTTCATGCCTGCATCCTATTGCTAAAATAAGAAAATTAAATACTATTAAATAGAGCGTGCTCTTTGTTTTTGCATACTTTGTAGGCTATTTTCACATTTCACGGCTAATGAAAGTTTGAGGGATCTCTGGACGATTTCCTCCGTTGAGAATGACGGAAATGTTAATGGAATGTTTTTAACTTTAAATGAACAAAACGTTCTGTTGTCGTTTTTTTCCCGACATTTCATTGTTGCGGAGAAATAAGCGAAAATTGATTCGTCATCTCTTATATCGCTTATCATTCCGTAATTGAACGAGAACGATTTACATAGATATGCTAATTGGTCGACTTGGTAGGTCTCGAAAGTTGGTTGGTACCACATACTCTTATGATAGACTTGTAAATTTCCTGTAAATTCGGTAAAGTTGTGGACATCTCCCACATTCAATATATTATTTGAAGCATTGAAAAGTCGGTAATGAAAGTCTACAAGAAATAAAACAACAATTTCCCTACAGTTCACACTTCAATTCATCGTAATCCATAACAGACTTGTATAGTTTTTGTCCTCTTCGCATGCCATAGATAATAAATACGGATTATAGGGTTTTCCTTGCAAGAAGCAACTACTAAAGTCGTCGTTTTTAGACAAATCGCAATCAATCAAACTTGGATGTGAACCCCTCTCTAAATAGTAATTAATCGTTTGACAACCCGAACGATAGATCATCTGTTCGTATAATTAATGAATTAGTTAATAATTACGCAATCAATCAGACGGAATAAAGTAAACATATTCATCTAATAACATAAATTTTATATCTATAAACTTTGTAGCGAGGTGGCATGATTTTGGATTGGCGTCTGCACAAAGATAAGGCATATCTAACAATGTCATTTAGCGGTTCAAATGCGAATGGAATGTTTCCCAATGTCTTTGAATTAATCATATATGTTGCCCCATTTGGGAAAATCTTTGCAAACATTATATTGTGGAAAAACTCCGGCATTCTAACAATTTCGAAATCTTGAAGAGAAAAGGAAACAGTCTTGATAATAACATCAATGACTGTAGACAAGGAAAATCAATTACCTTTTAATTGTCTGTACTCGCAAATTAACTCTTCTACATAATTGGAATGAGAACTTGTTCTATTCGAATGGGATATTTGCTGAAAAGAGGCTCCTCTTTTCTCAACAGCCGTACCAATGAAATATTTACTTTTTTCAACAGTTTGACGCGATTTTTTATAAAATTCACTATTTGCGCATAAATTTTCATTTGTGCCATTTCGTTTGAAGAATAAATTGAACGTTTTCCCTTTATATCTCACA